CTTTTTCCCAGGAAGTAACTGCTGTTACCAGTTTCGTTTGGTTCTTCCAAATATATTCTCTCGCCTGATGCCATTTTTCATCAATGTATTTAAAGTAAGATCCTTGATTTAAGAAGTGACCTTAACTCTCTCCACTCTACTTTAACATAAGGACTTCAGAGAGGTGGGGCCAAGTTGTTCAGCCGACTCCATGTGGATCAGGGTAGAAACCAAACATCAAGCCGGACCAGGACCAGCCACATGCCTTGTGGGTGCCCATCTATAGTGAAAGTATGAGGCCTTTAAAATCATTAAGACTTTTAAGACGGCAACACCAGGGCATTAAACCAGTTGTGGGGCTTTCTAAGCACAAAGCCCACGCGACTACACAGCTTGCATGCAGCCAAGCGTGATAACCATCTGTACCACCCAGGGACTTCTTTCCCCATTTTACAGGTGAGCAAACTGAGCCCACGACTGGGTGTCACCCAGCCCATCAGGCATGCAGACCAGAGTCAGGATTCCGTCCCAGCCCCGAGAGGCTCCAAGGCTACACTTGTTTTCCTCTCTAGCCTGCCCTTGCATTCGCCTGGTAACGGGAATATTTCTGCTTGGCTAAAGAACTTTAAATCTTGTCCTGACATTTCCTAGTGTTTGAGATTTGGTCCCAATGATTTCGGTGGTTGTATTAATTTTTTCCTCGCAGAGCTCTGCAAAGACACATGGAAAGCTTCCTCTTCTCTAACTTCTCCTTTTATGATGTTATTTATGTTTGGAACCAATGAGCATATTAATCTGACCTGCCCATCGAAGGGACACTTCTCAGAGTTTTTTCTTTCCTCCTTTTTTTTGGGCCACTGTTTTTCTGCTGTCTTATGGAGCGGGAGAGATTGCAGCGAGTACGGCACATCGCTGCAATCGATCCTGCGGTCTCTGGGCGCCCAAGGTTTGGGAGGCAGGGCGTCCGGATGAACAAGGGTGAGTGGAGCACAGAATGGCTCAGTGGGGTGGGACAGAGCCTTGGGGGAGTCTGTGATGCTGTCGGAGTCGGTGGAAGAATCTGAAGTCTTTCTTCTCTGCCCCCTCCCTTGTACTCTTCAAGTTTTCTTTAAAAATAAGATTTAGATGTTTGGTTTGCTTATTTTGTTGGCAATCTGGGTTGTCAAGACAACAGGGTCTGTTTGCCTAGAAATAGGGAGTCTTCTCATGTTCTTGGAGGAGGAAACCCAAATACTTAATGGGCTATCTAAGAAGAAAATGTTTTCCCTGAGTGGAACAGTTATCACCAGAAGAGTCAAGTCTCAGTGAAGGCAATTGTGACGTTTCTGCTCGATTCTGCACATAAGTGACAGGGTTTCTAGCTCTGTGCTCAATGTATTAATAATAGCTAGCATCATTAAGCGCTTTGGTGGTAGGCTCTGAGCTAAGTTTGTAACACAATGAGTGGATTCAAACCTCACACCAAGCCTATGAGGTAGGTGCAGCATTTTTCTCCATTTAACAAACATTGTAAAACCAGACGGAGACAGACTAAGTCACTCACCCTGGGCCCCAAGCTGGTAAATAGTGAAGCTGGGATTCGAACTAGGTCTGACTCCAAAGCTACTGCTCTCAACCACAGTGCTGCGCATATGCAGAAGTTTTGGATGGGGTACCTACCCACGTGCAGGAGCTGCAGTGGTTGATCGCTTGGCTATTAACCGAAAGGGCAGCGATTTGAAACCACCAGCTGCTCCATGGGAGAAAGACGT